GTTGTTTCTTAAAAATTCAAGCTACCATAATCTTATGTACAAGCCTAAATCAATTTAAGTGATTGTAAGACAATTTCATATATCACATGAACTCAGTTATATTAATTTAAACACTGATGGCTTCCAGAAGTTGAATATATTTGCAATCAGCATCGTAGCTTTTATAAGAACTAATTAATAAAAGTTATATACAAAGTTACATTACCAGTACATTTAATAGCAGCCTCTAAAGGCATTTTCAATTAGCTGAACTTTCTCTGAATTTACTCAGTCTATCAAAGTTTCAATAAAGCTCTCAAAATAATGTTAATTGTGGATGACTTTGGTGAAGTTTTTCTGCTGAAATTAAAAGGATTACCACACAGTTGCCCAGCAACATCAACAAGAATATATATTACAGCCCAACTTAGTTATCATGGCCAACAAAATGTTAAAAATATGGTAAGAGGAGAAAAAATGAGCTCTAGAGAATGGGATTATTTTCCTGTAACTGTGGTCAATTTAAATGGTGCATTTAGATGCTTTTGAGAAACTCTGGGTTCTGGAGTAGATGCAGAAAGGATTTGAAAGGAGACAAAGAGGCACAGAATGTTGTCATTCCTCCTTCTGCCTTTGAATGAAACCAAAAGAAGTAGGAAGGCACATCTTTATGAGCAGAACAGTGTCACGCTTACCACAGAAGCCCCTGCCATGAGCCAGCAGCCATGCGCTTGACACTGCACCCCTCACCAGCCTCCACAGGAATGCAATGCATCCTCATTGTTTCAAACCTTACTAAGAAGCTCATCTACTTGCTTCCATAGCTAGAAAAAAAGTAATTATTCAGTGTCATCCACCCTCACCAAACTGTGTTCATTTCTACCCTGCAGAACGAGCAGAAGGTAACACTTCTGCCTGGGTCCCTAGGACAAGAATTAATTGACCTTTTCCTCCCCTCCTCCCCCCTCCCCTCCCCTTCCCTTCTCTCTCTCCCTCCCCTCCCTTCCCCTTCCATCCTCTTGTTCTCTCCTGGGTTCACCCCAAGATGGTTCAAAATTTAAATAACTGAGTTGCAATCCTATTTGCTAAGGCTGTCTTGTAGCATCTGTTTCTCCTGGCTTTTGTTGTAACATTTTGTAAGGATCTCTCCTATCTTTTTGCCCTTATCTCTTGCTATCCTGTGCTTCCATTACATAATGATCACGCTTCTTGTGGGGCTTGGCACAGGTACATAACATATCTCAAATCTTTTCTCATCCCCTTTGCATATTCTTCCTTCTACCGTCCTTCTCTTTTGATATTCTTCCCTTTGGAAAATAAGATATCTTCTTACCTGCCATCACCGACTTTTTTGTGCTCTTCACTCATACTTTGCTTTCTTCAAATCAGAGAAACTATGACCTATTAAAACTTGTGCATCTGATTTAACCCACTCAATATTATGGTCTTGAGGTATATCAACTTTCCTACGAATCACTCGAGTTTACCTTTCTTTATGGTACAATAGTACTTTATTGCATACAAATACATTTTATTTCTCCTTCCATCTTTTAATAAACACAGATTGCTTCCAAGATTTAGCTATTATAAATTGTGCTAAAAACACAGGTATATGTGATAAACATATACAAACCAGAAAGGAAAGCATCAAGAAATCAAATAATAAATGCTGGTGATGCTGCAGGAGAAAGGAACTCTTCTGTACTGCTGGGAAGGCAGACTAACAGCACTCTGGAATCAGTATGGAGATTCCTCAGAAAACTACCACTAGAAATTCCATTTGACCCAGCTATTCCCTTTCTAAAGATCATCCTGAAACTGTTAATAGATCTTAATTGACTACTAGACTCTGAGCTCCAGTCTTGCTTGCCTTGCCCTTCGAAACATCCATGCAGTGGAAGAGCTCACCAATAAAAGAGGAAAGAAGGAGGGAAGCAACTCAGTTGTGCCCCAAATTTTCTGATCAAGGAGATTATGGGGCCACAGAGGAATGTGACTGATGATGTAGAGTGTGCCTAAGGAGAGTCACATGGAGAGAAAACATTCTCTCAGGCTTTCACAGAGAGCAAATTGGTCAAGCAATCACTGTGACTCATCCACATGGCTGACACTGACAAAGGATCTCCAAACTGCAGTATAGGGTTACAGGATAAATCCTGAGGGGATTTGATTGACCTTATCAGATACAAAAGTTACATTTCTTTTTCTTTTTCCGACTTTATCATTCTTTATAGCTGAGTAATACTACATTGTGTAAAAATACCACATCTTTTTTCAAGCATTCCTCAGGTAATGGGCATCTTGTTTGTTTCCAAGATTTGGCTATCACAAATTGTGCTGCTATAAACATAGGCAAACATATATCCCTATGATATGATGTTTTCAGATCCTCCAGGAAAATTCCCAGTAGAGGAATAGCTGGTTTAAATGGGATTTCCAGTCCAACCTTTCTAAGGAGTCTCCACACTGATTTCCATAATGGTTACACCAGTCTACATTCACCCAACAACAAATGTTGGAGAGACTGTGGGGAAAAAAGAACCCTTCTCCATTGCTGGTGGGAATGTAGATTGGTACATTTCCTGTTATATAGGTCTTGCTTTATCTTGGTCTTAACTGTCTAGCAGAAAAGTATAAAAACGAGGCATATAAAGTAAAGCCCTATTAATATGCTGAGCTGTAAAAGGCTCTAGTCAACAACTTCTGCAGATAACCTACTACTATTGTGGACTGCTGGACTGAGCTGAATTGTTTTGCTGAATGCAAGCACCTGTAATATTTAGATGCCAATAGAATACCCATCTCTGACAGGACTAAACAGAAAAAGGGGATACAAAGGAAGGACCATTTTGTATTTGTATACACAGAATAGTTAGGATAGATATACAGCTACTTTCACTTAATTCAATGAGATGAAAGATTTGTAGTAATAGTGTTTGGACAGGATATCCTGTCTGCTTCTTCTACTATGCATAACCACTAAGAAGATAACAATGTGCAATGTATTAATTATTGAAAATATCCTATTAATCAGCTTTGAAACTGTCTCATTGATATTTGTTCCTCAATAAAATAAAATTTAAAAAAAGGAAGGAGAGACATAGTGCTAAAAGTGGGATAAAATTGCAGTGTGTGGTGGGGGGTCTGCCTAGGACAGAGCGAGGCCAAGGGTGAAAAGACAAGAGCCCCAGCCCCAAAGCCTCACTTGATTTAATATAAGTATGGTAGTTGTTTGTAAGAAGGTTAATTAAATAACATAGAACATCTTTCCTCAATTCATATTATATATATA